AGACAGACAGACAGACAGACAGACAGACAGACAGACAGACAGACAGACAGACAGAGAAGGTGCGAGTGTATACGTGTGTTTTTTGTTTTGTTTAATATTTAACTGAACCAGGTCGACTGAATACCTGGGCTTGTGCTGATGCCATGTGAAAAGAATATCAAACAGAAGGCCAGAGTGCTGACTGAGGCAGGAAAAATCTGGGTCTGGAAAAGTGCAGGTTTGGGATGGATCACGCATCTAATTTGTATGAATATTATTATATAATACTGGTGGGGATGAACTTTGTGTCACAATTTAAAGGAGAAACCACACACCCTTCAGCTCTAAAGCTGTTGAACTGCTAATTCCAGGGTGCATTGATAGTCGAAGCCGACTTTGTGCTGTTGAGGCTAGAGAGGTGAGCAGAGTAAGCGTGATCCCCCGTTTGGACTTCTCTGTTGACATCTACCCCTTGGCGCTTGCGTTCATATGACCTTATACAGTTTCGAACGCCGTAAAACCTTACTAAAACTTTAAAAAATTACCAGCAGACATATCGCTGCCTTAGAATTACAAAGTTCTATCTACTCAGTACCTGTGTCCAGTTTTGAGAAATTTGACGTAAAATATGTTGAGTTTCACAACACGTCAAGATTTTTCAAATGTAATTCTTTGAATATCTTGATATTCTTGATTAACGATTTGATAAGGAAGATTGAACATTTTGGTTTCTGACCTCGTGGTATTAGTAACTCAAAACTGCCAAAAATGTCAGATAGAGCTTTGTAATTTGGAGGTAGCGAAGTTGGGATACATGTAGAGTCGATCCTGCTCTAACCGCCACTGCCCAAGACAATCACCGGTGCAAACGGCCACTTCCCACTCTCTCACCGCCTTGAGGTTTTTAAAACTATTATTATGACATTTTTTAAGACGACCACCTGAATAAGACGACCATCTGTATAAGACGACCACCTGAATGAGACGACCATCTGTATAAGACAACCACTTTTCTCCTCGACAATGGCTGCCCGTTTTGAACAATTTTTATTGTGCTTAATAATAATAATGATGATAATAA